CCCCCAATATTCGGCATAATAAAAAATAATTAAATAGTCCACTCCAACGTGCAGAGTGTTGATGATACAAAATAAACATAGGAGTACACTCAAATAGTAAAAGACAGTGCAACACTTTGAAACTAATCGCTCCTCGCTTGCATTCACTGGTTTATTGGACCAATTGTAAAGTTTTGAAACTCTATTATCTCCCCTGAAGAATAGAGTTTGCAGTGCCTTCTCATGCAAATAGCTTGCTCGCAAGGGACGTTTGGAATTTTTACGAACATTACTTTTAGTTTTTAATTCTTTAGGAAATAGACTTGCCTAGATTTAATCTTTACGCCCCAAATATTATTTACATCGGAGTTGCATCATAAATTGTACTCGGATTCAAACGACACAATGTCAATGACGTTATAAAAGTAAAAGCATATTGTGTATTGGCCCATTGGGTTTACACTTTTACAGGTTCATTTAACTTTAACTCTCTCAAGTCTCAACAGACAATCGGACATGCCAAATCCATTGATATGACAACTTCAAAAAACTTTTTTTCGAAGCTACAAATCATGATTTTTTTCAAATTTTTCCTGGGATACTTTGTTTTCTGCTCTCTAGACTCCCCCTCGCGGCTCTAGTGCTCCGTCCCTATAGAATATAGACCTTACTGGGGTTTGGTGACACTTTGTGTTGCTTCAGTCACCTGCTCACGGCTCACCCCCCTAAAATTTCTGGCACCACCCCAGTAAAAAATATGAAAATCCGTCTATGGTGAGGCCAATGTAAGGTATGTGGATAAATATCAGTTTGGGCATCTCATTCGATAGAACTTAATGTCGAAGGATTTTTATAGGTGGAAGTTTCCAGAAGCAGCCGCAAAAACATTGAACTACAAACACTCTGGCAGAAATTGAACCTAGGGCTCTGTGATTCCCATGTAATCCAACCGACCTATTGTTGTCACCTTATTCCAATACTACTGTATGATTGTCATGATTCAACTCAACCCTGTTTCAAAAACCTAAGATAAAATCAGTCACTCACCTTATTCCAATACTATATTGATCAAGCGCCTCTTGGTATTCACTCAATGCAGCAAGATTATCTCCGAGAAGAATATGAAGATTGGCATTCTTGATATGTGATAAATGTTTTCTTAGTCTACAAAATACAAAAGAAAAAATATTTTGTTGATTCGATGGCTTGGTAGATTGAATGGTTCCTTTCACCTCTGAGATTGTGGGTTCGATCCTCGCTGCGGACTCGCGACACTTATGTGAACGCTCTGCCGAAAGTCGTGGGTTTCTTCTGGTGCTCTAGTTTCCTCCCATAGGAGATGTTGACAGGGTGTGTTGGGATTATCCCCCTAACTTACCCTTTCACTGTAGCTGTGTTCCGTGATCAGACACGAGTCATAAGGTGGCTGTCACATGCGCCCTTAGAATGCCTTAATTCAACTCGATCAGGTTGAGCTGTAAGCTCAGATTCCAGCCGTTGGGTTCTCGGCAATCGCCTAGTTGAGCTGCGTCCTTCCTAATTCAGCTTAGCTGAAAGCAAGGATGACTTTGCGACGTCCCTGTTTATAATATGCTCGGAAAATATTACCGATCGTTGAAACAAATATGTTTAACTCGCGTTCAAAGGAGGTTTTGATCCATTGATTCTTCAATTACCGCATTGATGATGGAGTACATAAGACATTGACAATATTTGAAAGATTTACAAATACTAGGTTTGAAATAATCCCTGTCGTTCTATATGGCTATATTCAGTCCGATTGAGTTTTGGTTTTGCAGTTTGCCTTTTGGGAATTGGTGCTCAATTTGCATCTCAGCCGAAAGCAATGATGATTGATACATCCCCACTTACTAACTATAGTATAATTCACTATATGAAAATATTCCACATGTAATCCTGCATGAGGACTGAAGTATCATTGTCAACATGAGTATAGATAAATCTTACAGCTCTACGACTCCTTCGTGGTTCTGTTCTTTTGTGAGTATTCCTGCCAAATCGTACACAGCATCTGCAAATGTCGGATCTTGAACGACGGCTTTTTCCAACATCTGTTTTGCCTGAAATACATACAGAAACTGTCCGATTCCTGCGCTATAAAGTTGTCAGATTATATTTCACTTTAGAGGTATGTGAAAAGATAGCTCTCGATCTCCTTCAGTATATAATTGGACCATTGCATGGTCCCTAGGGAGAACAGTTGGAGCTAATATAGAGCCATCCAGCATAAGTCAACGAGCTCTATATATATATATACCTGGAACAAAACTTAAACTTTAGTCTTTCGGCCTATACGAAAAGTGAAGCCAAGATGACAGAATTGACGTGCAATAGCTATGACGGTTTTGAACAGTTCTAACACCATTTCGTCAAGCTGAGTCCATTGTTTTTCTTTTCTAACGGACCGTATCGCTAATTTATCAGTTCAAAAAACGATAGTGTTATTCTTTAAATCAAAATCAAAATACGAAATTTTGGCACACTCCTTGTAAACCGCGAAGACAAAAACAATAAAAAGGAACCGAAACTGACGTCCATGCAATATCTCCATTTCTGGCTTCACTTTTCTCGAGTTCTCGCTCCAGTATGTATGGAGCTCACCGGCCTATAAGAAGAGTCGATAACAGGTTGGCACGCCAATTCAAATGTGTTGACACTTGTCACTTGTGAAAAAGAGTTCCTGTTTTAATTCCTAGTTCCCTTTCCTATCATTCCCATCCATCCATCCAGCGGTTGAAATGAGTGGGCTGACGGTCGCCAATAGACCTTTCCCCTTATGAGTGAAATTTTGATCTAGACAAGCCTGGATAAAAATTTCATCACAGCTTGAAAGAGCATCACAAAATTAGTAATATTCCAAAGTTTCGTTGCGAAATGGTGTAAAATGCGGATAATATAGCCTTGCGAAATTTGCCGTTTTTCAGTCATTTTGTATTACAAATGGCAAATTGATAATCAGTTTGATCATCTGATTATCAATTTCCATTTGTAATGCAAAATGACTGAAAATTGCAAACTTCGCAAGGCTATATATATTATCCGCATTTTACAACATTTCACAACGAAACTTCTAAATATTACTAATTTTGTGATGCTCTTTCAAGCTGTGATGAGATTTTTGTCTAGACTTGTCTAGATCAAAATTTCACTCAAAAGGGGAAAGGTCTATTGCCGACCAAATTTTTTATCTGCCGACCAGATATTTGCCAAGGGCACAGTAGCCCTTGTGGTGACTGAGAAAAAAAATTCTAAAGCCTTAAAATATCTCAGTAACTCAAGTATTTCATTCTGCTTTGGCATATAATTCGCTGTTATTATGTTAGCTATATGTAAAGAGAATATGCTTCGTAACACATATAGGGAGACCTGATATAAAAAGTTTGGCGACCACGCGGGCGACTAATTTTTTTTAAAATTTCAAACCCCTGCATCCATTCCTATAAACCTAGCCAAAGTGTTCAGCAAAATATTATCCAGTGCTTACTTTTTCTTGCGTCTGACTTTCTTTGGCCAAAACCATGGCAAGAAGCTAAAAATAATAAACAAAACTTTTGAGTTGTTAAAATTAGCCTGTGCGGAGGCGCTGAGGGTGGGGTGCCGGTGGGGAGGGGGTCACAGGGAGGTAATACCGTAAGTGACTTATCTCGATATTTAAAGTCAACAATTTGACAATTCATTTGTTTTTATGGAAACATCTTTTAGCTCAGAAAAAAATACAGTATACCTAGTGTTCTCAAAAATGTATATTTATCAGCAAGTGTACCTATAAGGAACAATTTCATTTAAATCATTATCTTGCAATTTTCATCAAAGAAAATCTGTTTCCATGAAGTCAAAGCAAGTTTAATAATGGAACAATATAGTATTCACACATTTTACACTTTATTCTCCTTAATGTACTTTCGCATTAGATAATTTTCATCACCACGGACGATGAGTACAACTTACCAATAAAGTTCTTGCATTAGTTCCAAGACATTTGTGCGCGTTTTTGGCGACAACCAATGCCTCCTTGTGTCTATTACTACTGAGGTAACACTCAATTAAACCTAGTATAAAAACAAAACATATTTGAGAAGTAACTGATTTTCGGCTTAGTTGGGAGCAATCACCTCCACATACAATGTTTTCAAAAACAGGTATGAATCCAGACAACAGGTATGAATCCAGCTTCATCTGGTAGGGTAGGGTATGGTAGGGTAGGGTAGGGTAGGATGGAGGCCATTGGAGGGTGCTGAGCGGCGTTGGTTATTCCCCACCTCTCTTGGCAGACCCTCAATCCTATCTGCTACATATACATGCACCTACCTTTGTTCCCGTCGTAATTGAAAGGAGAAAGTCTGATGACTTCACGATAATGATCTATCGCTTCACTCTTACGTTTGACTGATGAGAGCAGAGAACCTTTTGTAAGTAAAGCCTGAATATTTAGATTGTCCATGTTGTGCGCCTAAAAAAAGTAAAATTTTTTTTTCATATTAACTACACGAATTATTTCATTAAAGGTAGACCTCGCAACCTGTACAATCAAGTTACACTCTTTAAGGCAGAACCTGAAAGCAGACCTTTAAAAGCAGTCCTTTCCTATACCTCGCACCCTATAGCTAAAATGGCATTTCTTGCATTTTAACCAGACTATAAGGATTGCCACAAACAGGCGTAACAGTTTACAGATACAATTACAAACCGTAGCTATAAAGGTATGCCGAAAACAAGCGTACTTTATAGCCACAAATAATGGCTATAAGGTATGTCAAAAACAGGCGTACTTTATAAAGCCACAAATAATGGACATAAGGTACGCCGAAAACAGGTGTGCTGCATAAATCGCGGTTAGGCCTAGGGTGAGGGTCACTGATCAGTGGTTCGGACAAAGACTGAATGCAACGATAGGAATACTTTGTGAATTTACGAGAGCCATTACCTTTTGTGAGAAGTATATTGCTCTCGTCTTTTTGTTGGCGACAGATGAAGAATGCGCCATAGCAATCCAGGATTCTGGTCGGTCTTCACTGATTCCAATAAGATCTTCAGCCAAACTAAAATAATAAATGAGAGGTAAGTGATGTGGATACAATTATATCAAAGCAGTCAGTGTAGAAACACGCGAGGCGAGTGATGTGCATGTTGTGTGCATACAGTTGTATCAAAGCAGTCAGTGTGGAAACACGTGAGGCGAGTGATGTGCATGTTGTGTGCATACAGTTGTATCAAAGCAGTCAGTGTAGAAACACGCGAGGCGAGTGATGTGCATGTTGTGTGCATACAGTTGTATCAAAGCAGTCAGTGTAGAAACACGCGAGGCGAGTGATGTGCATGTTGTGTGCATACAGTTGTATCAAAGCAGTCAGTGTAGAAACACGTGAGGCGAGTGATGTGCATGTTGTGTGCATACAGTTGTATCAAAGCAGTCAGTGTAGAAACACGTGAGGCGAGTGATGTGCATGTTGTGTGCATACAGTTGTATCAAAGCAGTCAGTGTAGAAACACACGAGGCGAGTGATGTGCATGTTGTGTGCATACAGTTGTATCAAAGCAGTCAGTGTTGCAACATGAGAGGCGAGTGATGCTGCTGCATACAGTTATATCAAAGCAGTCAGTGTAGAAACATGAAGCGAGTGATGTGCATACAGTTGTATTAAAGCAATCAGTGTTGCAACATGAGAGGCGAGTGATGCTGCTGCATACAGTTATATCAAAGCAGTCAGTGTAGAAACAAATATGAAATAAACCTTATGTTGACAATACATAAAGTATTGGGTTTCTACTAATAACGGTTCTTTTATTACGGGAACCACTGAGTATTTTGATAAAATACAACACAATAGATACTCCGAAAATTGAAAGCATTTTGAAAACTTTATTTCAAAATGCTTTCAATTTTCGGAGTATCTATTGTTTTGTATGCATGGTTCTTTTAGGTATATCCAATCAGAAACCCCTCTCTAACCAAAGGTCGTGCCCTTTTGTCACAAGACTCGGAATATTTCACTTCAAAGTAAATTCTTGCCCGGACAAGACGCTCTAAATATGTGGCAACAAAACGACTTTAGAAGGAAGTGATGTACGTCTGTTGTCCACTTGTCCTAAACGATTCTTTCAGTGAAAATATCAACAAAATAGCAACACAAATCTACGTGATATCTATATGACTGTTTATACGATGAGGATTTTACTAACAAACTGGCTGAAATAAGAACATAATTTGCTTTACTTTAAAACGAAAGTAAATATAATCTGGTATGTAGTATACTATTTAAGACTGTATTTATCTGAGTAAGCAAACAAAGACTGGCGTACCAATTTTCTGCGGGTATAAGTATCAATATATTTGAATTTGACCAAATTACATAATCTCTATACAGTTCTTGATTTTTCTGTGTTGGTGTAATGTACTCAGGTGAATATGATGTTTGTGATGTTACTCTGAGTGTATGTCCACACCGGGCAAGCTTGAAAAATATGCCTGACCACGGTGGGAATCGAACCTACGACCTTTGGAATACTAGCCCAAACCAGACACAGTACTAAAATGCGGTGCCCTGCAAAAAAAATTTCTGGCGTTTCGCCTACAAGTAAACTTATATAAAATAATACGCTAGATGGGGCCCCTAGATTTCTCCTGTTGGCTAATACATGAAGTTTCTAGTGAGGGAAAAGTGAGCGCGCGAGGTCTGCGAGGACCCACCATCGAATTTTTATCGAATTTCTAAAGCTTTTTCATGTGACGTCTAATGTTACGCTTACATTTGTTTTGGACTTTGGCCACTGTCAGTTCTATATTTTTTATAAAGTTTTGGTTTCTTAGTGTGATAAATCTGTGTATATAGTCTATATAATGTGATAAATGCACCTAGCAGATATGACTTGATATGAAATCGCACATGTTTAATATCTGTCACCTCTGATTGCCCTTTAACCCCTGGTCTTTGCTACTTCAATCTTTGCTACTTCAATATATATTGCTTCTTGTCCTTCTTTTCAGTTCCATTCACAGCTCACTAGTCGGCTGCGAGCATAGGCTGCGAGTAATCACTGTGCTTGATATAATTTGCGCTCTCTACTGTGGTTCTATTTGCTTTTGATGCCCGCAGCAATCCCTACCTTGCAGGTACCCTAGTTTAATATTTAGCACGCTACATTCTCCTGTCGGCCGCCAGTTGGTCCGTACGTTAGAGTCGAAACTGCGTTTTAAAGCCTTCAAAATAAAATATTTTGGGCTCAAAATACTATCAAAATGAAGAGAAAAGTGAGACGAATCCACTGGCATACGGCCGAAAACGAGAAAACCAACAATTCCGAATATTTTGGGCTCAAACTACAAACAAAATAAAGAGAAAAGTGAGACAAATCGACTGGTATGCGGACGAAAAAGAGAAAGCCAACAATACGAAAGTTATCAAGGTCAAATGCATTGCATTTTTAATTAGTTTAATAATTTTGAGCGATTTGTGAACAATACAATTTCGCTTGTCTTTCAAAGGCCATAAATCGCTAGATTACTGTAGTTTAGTAATACATTTGACAACTGTGGGTATACTTTCTTACACTTAATCGAACGGTGGTATTTTTGTCCTTATTGGGCGCATAAAACCAGAGATAAGACGCAGCAAAAGGTCAATCGTGGGAGTTCGAGATTAATTCGAAAGAAAATTTTCCTCGAAAATAGGAATTCGGAAAACGTGAAGGATTATTTTGAGCGGCTTTTGTCTTTCAAAGGCGACAAATCGCTAGAATAGAAGTCAATTTTGAAATCAATTTTCCATCCGTAAACACAACATTTCACGCTGATTCGAACAGTGGTATTTTTGTCCTTGTTTGACGCATAAAACCAAAGATAAAGCTGAGCAAACTGTCGATCATCATGAGTGTACACGATTAATAATAATTAATAGAGAGTTTTAGCTTGACGTTTACGCAAACGTCAAACCGCTAACGAAGTTTTTGATTTTACAAGTCTATTATAACAGCTTTTACACCAGTTTTGAAATATAAACAATTATTAAACTTGTGCTCTTTAGCAATGATTTAAAAGAAAGCAAATTAACTTACGTTTGGCGTATAAATTTCATGCTTTAACGACTATACAAGCCCTCGTAGCAGTTCAAGCATGAAATTTATACGCCAAACGTAAACTTCAAACGCCAAATCATAATTTACTGCTTTCGCGAATACGTGTCTAGTGGTTAATTTGCTTTAAATCAAAATTTCGTTAGCGGTTTGACGTTTGCCGCAAACGTCAAGCTAAAACTCTCTAATAAATTCCGAGCGCGTGCAAGGAATTTTTGGTAGGCGATTAAGGAAACGTATTGATGCGAACAAACTAACAAACAAACAAACAAACGGACAAACTAACAAACTCACAGGCAGAATATAATGCGGTGCCAAAAATGGCACGGGCACCGCAATCGAACCTACGACCTTCGGAATATTAGCTCTATACAGTCGTATGCAAGCGGTCAGTGGAAAAACACGCGCGAGTAAAGTTCCATACAACTGACTGCGTTGATATAACTGTATGGAGCTTGACTCGCGCGTGTTACTCCACTGACCGCTTGCATGTAACTGTATAGAGATTATGCATGGTAAAATCGCTCATAGTCGGTTGCTTGGATATAACTCTATCATATCATGCAGTGTTGATATAATAGGTCACAGTCAGACTCGCTGTCGTTTAATCAATCTTGTTACGTTTATTATTATACATCTATGTCTTGCCACATTGGTATTTTAAGTAATGCTGCTGAATAACTGATTGTGAAATAAAAATATCTTAAAATAAAAAAATTCCTTAACACAAGATCAAAGAACCAATTGAAATCTACCATGACTAGACATCATGTCGATTTATTTGTTCAAAAAATGCAGATACGTTTCGTTTGTTGCAAAACAAGTTGTTATTGTAGACGCTTTGAATACGTGGCAGAATTTTGATCATACATACGCTTGAATCTCCGCCTGGCTGTCGTTTAATACTGCTCATTTACTTCAACGTTTAAAGAGAATGTTCACTAAATATTTTCAAGGAGTAAAATAAAGGTACAAAACTGTCTATTTGGACGAGTTCAATACAGTAAAGTATCGGTATTTAAGTAGAATTTGCTTTATTTTCACTTTAGGAGAACAGCGATTAAATATGGCATCAAATTATCCACTTGGATATGATGACGAAAGATTCGAGTCGATAGTGGACCAAAATTTCCACTGTTTGATTTGCTATAACGTATTGAAAGACCCCGTGATGTGCCGCAGAAACCAGCACTATTTCTGCCACGGCTGTATCACGGAACATCTTCGTACGAATTCCCATACATGCCCAACATGCGCTGACGAGCTGAGTGTCGAAACATTGGCTGAAGTCCCAAGAATTGTGAAGAATTACTTGGATGAACGAAAGATTCGTTGCGATCATTACGACAGAGGATGTCGAGAACTCGTACAGCTGCAGAATTTAAAGCGACATGTCGCCGAATGCGGGTTTACTCCAGTCGTTTGTGAAAATCAAGGTTGTGGTGAGACAATCAGTAAAAGAGATCGTACATATCACGAGAGTGAACTGTGTCAATTTAGAAAGTTGAAGTGTCACAACTGTGGAGAAATCAGCACGATGATGGCGGACATGCAAACGGAAATCGCAAACCAGAACACGAAAATCAACACGGAAATGGCACACACGGACAGAAAACTGAAAAACATGGACACGAGAATAACAAACATCGACACGAAACAGGAAAACATGAACACGAAACAGGAAAACATGAACACGAAACAGGAAAACATGAACACGAAAATAGAGAACTTGCAAGCGAACGTGGAAGCGAAGTTCGAAGCGATGGATAATGAAGTGAGAGGAATGAAAATGAGTTTAAATGAAGTGAAAGATGGTTTTGATCACTTGAAAGAAGCAGTACTTGAGAAGATAGAGAGCAAAGAAAGAAAGCAGGAGGAAATCACAAGAGATGTAAGTGGCACAGCGAGTGGCGGGAGAGAAAATCAACATATATTTGTTGCTGGTGGTGGGGGGAGAAACTCGGTAGAAATATTTAACTACCGTCAAAGATTGTGGTCTTTATTAAAGCCCATGCCAGGGAATCGTGACGAAGCATCTTTATTTGTTTACAATAATCACGTGACTGTAGCGGGAGGTTGGTGTGGTGCGGCTGTAGATAACATGACCCGAATAAAGATTCACCCAGTCCCT